GGTTGTTTATATTATCAGAAATTCTTGCAGCATACGTCATGGTCATGTATTCACGGCGAAGATCGAGAGGCTGTTCTCCTGCTTCGATAAGTAAACTTTCCACTGGACTACTACGGTATGCTCCTAAGGCTATCCTAATGACGGCATGTCGAATGACATCCAGCTGTTTGAGAGCTGACTTATTTACAGTAGAGTAGGCAATACATCCATAGTCTATTTTAGATCTTATTAGCGCCCGATAGATGGTTAACAAAGTATTGCAGTCCGCAACCCAGGTGTGATTTGACAAGACCTTCATTAGATTCAAACCATTTTGACAAGATTTCTCAACATTGCGAATATGGGCATTCCAATTCAGTTTGTAGTCAAACGTAATCCCAAGAAACTTCGTTTTCTCAACGAATTCTAACTGCTGTCCATTGAGTGTAAAGTTTGCGAAACTACTTGCTTGCTGTTTGGAAAATAGGAGGCATTTGGTCTTTGCTGGTGAAAATTGGAAATCTGTATTGAGGGACCATAATTCCAGACTCGATATCGCCTCCTGAACAAGTGATTCCAATGTGTTTATATTTCTGCCACTAACAAGTAGGACTAGGTTATCCGCGTATAGCAGCCCTTTGACTGGGGATTTGATATTCTTCAAGATGTCGTTGATGGCTATGAGGAAGAGGGTGCCGCTGAGTGATGATCCCTGAGGTGTTCCGTTTTTGAGGGTACTCTTTCTCAGAGTCTATGCCATTAGCTCTCACAGAAGAGAATCTATCATCCAAGAAATTTTCTATAAAAGCAAGTAGATTTCCTTGGATATGCCAATTTTTCATCTGCACAATACGTTGCGATTCCAAACTGTATTTAATGCTTGACGAATATCGAAAAAGATGGCTCTAACCTTGTGTCGATTTGCGGAGGACTCGTGCATGGCTGACTGTATGATAACCAGATTGTCTGTTGTTGAGCGGTTTTTGCGAAATCGACTTTGTTGTGGAATTATCAGGTTATTCTGCTCGAGAAAAAACTGTAGTCTAGCGTTCAAAATCTTCTTCAATACGTTACACATGGTGGATATAAGGAAAATAAGTTTATATGAGTCGGGATCAGATGGAGATTCATTCTGTTTCAGAAGAGGCAGTACAATAGAATTAGACCAAGATGTGGGAAGTTGTCTGGTGCGGTATAAAGTGTTGTGAATCCCTAGGAGATGAAGTTTGCCGAATTTTCAAATGGCTGTGATAAATTTCCAGAGTTCAGTTATTTTGCAGTATCAACCATTCAGTTACTTCAGATCAATTCTAGAAATTTGCAAACACCATACAAGTAAGAGATCTGTTTGAATAAAGGATAGTTTCCAAAGTGGTACATTTCTAGAGTCCAGTTATCTCTCATTATTAGCCATTTAATTACATTGAGACCTGTATTTCACTTATTTCAATGGGGAAGTTGAGTTTGGGGTTCAAGAGTTGAGGAATGGAATCATGATCGTAGGGGAAAAGAATCACCAGCATCATGCACAGTTTTATGTCATCCTTAAAAAAATTTCATTGAACGCGAACCAAAAAACAGGAATTTGAAGCAGATTTTTGAAAAAAGTATCAGATAGATTTCAATATGATATAAGTTCGCCCCATTCAAGCAACATACATTGATCTATTTCATAACTAGAGTTCAAGGTAGCCATGAATAAATCCCAGCCAAGAGGAATCTTATTTTAATTGAAGGGGTTATATTTTTCAATTCAAATAGTATTAACAAATGTCACAGAAAGGATTTGGAGCTTTATAACCTCTATTTATTATATGCGGATGCTTTCGATAGCTGGCTGTGCTATCATCTTCTTGGCTCTAGTCAAACTGAACGTTTCATCCTCTTGTTTGTTCTTTTATGCGGTTAGAACGCCGCATACACGTGTTTCACCATACAATAATCACTATTTATTCATTATAGCATATTATCTGGGATTCATAATAAATATTTACCATAAATATGTTTAAACGGGGATATTAGGAAAATACTGAGGTTCATTACCTGGATCCGGAAAATCTGGAGTTCTGTGCCATAGCTGACCTTGGATGCGGATGTCCTGACTCGGGTTCGGAATGTCTGCCGTTGTTGTTGGGATGTCTTTGATGGTGATGCATATTGTAATAATTATATCTTCGGCGACCCATTTCTGGTGACGTAACCGGGCTATCTGCACTTGGCATAGGCTTGAGCATTCTCTTCAAGGTGTTACTATCCAAGTTCATTCCTAAAATATTTAGTAGTATTTTTTCAAACATAACTTGAATAAAATCTCGGTTCGACTGAATGAGATATGTACACACATATTTTTGGAAAAAATAATATGAATAATATTGATCTGATCTATCTAAGATGATCTTGTATAGATAGATATATAGATTTATTAACAATAGATGCCCTACTATACATACATACTATACAAATTCAGAAGTTATCAAACAAAATAAAATAAAATGAAGTAAAATATATGAGATCTATACAGTAGAATATTGTGTGTGAAAAAGTTGCAGTAGAGAATGATAAAAAAATCAATAGAGAGGAGGAAGATGAACAACTCAGTTGTAAATAATACTGTGCTCGTAGATATTGCCACAAGGAGCGATTGAAGAGTTGGAGGGTGTTACTTAGTTGAATTTCATTAGAAAGCTTGTTATAGCCGAAGACACCTTTGTGAAATATAGTTATTATTTTTGCAAAGTTTGTTTTTGGGACAACTAAGTCATCTCTTCCTCTTGTATCGTATTTGTGAATCTGATGGTTATATGTGTGCTCGTCATCCTACATCAAAATACGCCAATGAACTCGCACCAGTATCTTGCAGACTTTTGAACCTATCTTGCTCCCGTTCTGCTCATTTCTAAAAATGGCAAGAAAAAATAACTATAGACCAGTCACTTTGCTATCAGTGATATCAAAAATCATGGAGAAAGCCGCAAACTACAATATCCTTGAATATTTGGAACAATTTAACATCAATATGGCTTTCGAAAACAAAGATCAATAGGCGACCTTCTATCGTATGATATTCTATCAGAAGAATGTGATGAGCTATTTTCCCATTTGGTACACTGTTTCAGGGTGAATTTAAGAATCGATAAAACTAAATGTGTGCGATTTCACAATAGACAAAAAATATTTTTTGCAAAAAAATATTTCTCCTTTACGTGAAAAATATTCGAGAAGTGTTTTTGGGCTTCCATATTATTGACTCTCTCACCTGGAACAAACATTGAAGGCTGATATCCAAACTCACTTTCTTCTCTGTAGGAATCTGAGATCGATCCTGCGAAACCCTCCTAGTTTCAACTTTACCATTCCTATTCATGATTGAAACGGCTGTATATGTTTACACAAACAGCAGCAATTTCATTGTAGTCAATTGACAACACGAAATCAATACACGACAAAAATATTTTTATATACCTTTCAGTAATACTAAAATTCACTACAATGCAAATAAATAAATGACTCCCAGAGTATCAAATTCTATTCCAAATGATACGAAAAGATGCGAAACATTATGGAGTTTCAAAAAAGCTATGAAAAAATATTTGTTGGATGGAAGCAAAGTTTTTCAAAATAAGGGTACTTTACTCCTGCCTCAAAACCAAATTTTTCATGGCTCCTCGTATATTATGTATATTTCACTATATTTTGTTGATGCATGTTCAGTTTCGATGGATACACAAACTTTCAGTAGGGATAACTTTCCATCGAAAAACTCTTGGTAAGTAAGTTTCTCAATATGGTGCATATGGGTAGACACTACATATGCAAATTATCAAATTGTTCGTGAGACTACCTAGCAAAAATTAAAACAATACCTAACTCACCATTTTCTCTATTCATATCTTCGGTACTTTTCGATTTACTTCTTCTACCAGACATGTTATTATTGAGCACATTATGGTGATGAGCTGCTCGTAGTTCTGCATCTCTCACCATATCGATGTCAGAATAATCGACTGACTTGGTATTCGTGAGCACGTGATGAAGGTTTTCTCTTGGAGGTGGTCGTGTTGATGTCGAAGACGTTTTTGTGTTAGGTGCCAAACTGCCTCCTGCTTGAGTTCCTTCAGATTTTGATGATTCGGTTGTTTGTGTTTGAGATTGTGATTCAGTCTGACTCATCTGAAAAATATGGTTTTTCAAAAGAATTGTTTCGCAAAATTTGAATGGATATAAAATGTGATGGAAATTATTCAACGAACTATTACATTAGTACATAGACAAATAGACAAAATCATTATGCGAAAAATAAAAAAAATAATAGAATCTTCTCATTAGTAGCAGACTCTCATCAAACCCCAATTTCTAATAAAATAGTTGGAAAAAATCAGGAAAATTCCAAAAAAGCCGTATCCAGTATTTTTTTTAATTCATATTAGAAAAAACATTGACCACCTCAAGAAGCTTGTATTCTATATGAACTTGCATCATCACTCAAGTGTAATATTTGAATAATATCGACAAATATGCTTTGATTAGACGAAATTCAAGAATTGTTTCATTATTTGTAACTAATGTTACTACAGTTTCGTCCTAATGGGAAGTATTAGTTTCAAAATGTCCCAACAGGAAGAAACTGCAGTAACATTAGTTACAAATACAAGTGATAAAAAACATTTTTTATCATACCCCATGGGGGCTGTCGCCCTCATACCAACGACAACTCTCAGAAGTTGAGAAACTTGTGCTAGCTAAGGACTAACGAGGTATTACCTTTTGATGTGTAATTCCTAATACGGTTGCAGAATCATCCCAGCTTCAACCAGATAAATTCTCTTGAGAAAAGTATCTGGTTGAGGCAGGAATCGAACCCACGGTCTTCCGATCGTGACTCGGGCGCACTACCACCGCGGCCAATTCCACAAAATGAAAATGAAAGTGTGAATTTTCCAAATGAATTTTTATATTCATCAGATATACTTGGAATGCCACCACATAATATTCTATATTCCAATTCTACAACAATGAACACATAAATAGTGTGATTGAAAAAATAAACAATTGAATAATACTATGGAATACCAAAAAAGAAAAAAACAACAAATATCAATTGATTATTAATAATAATAATCAGCAGTTGATCAATACGTATAACCTGATTTTCAAAAGAGTACAGGGATGAGTCAAACAAATCAATATAGCTGCTTTTCTTATTTGCTAACCTAAGCATTCCAGTGATGATTTAATTTAAGCCATAGCTAGTAGAATGGTAAAAAGGTTTAAACATCTCCGACACTCTTGTCTTCTTCAATCTACATTGGACTTAATCGTTTGTGTTACAAATTGACAGTGCATATCACCATTTATAACTTTATGAAGAAGTCTTATCAGCTCGGCAGTGCTCCAACATAGAAACATTCAGAAGAAGCTGAATCTCGAGTACTCATAGTCGGACCTCAGATATCCGAACTTTAATGCCCATGATATCAGAATTTTGTTTGTACTTTCTCAATGATAGATATATCTGTCTGATATAGTGGACTCCATATCACGCAATTATTTTCCAAGACTGAGCGTACCAAAGAAAAGTACACTATTTTAAAGATATTTATAGAAAATTTATCTGTGGATCGTTGAACGAATCCCAATGATTTGAGAGATTTGAGTGATAAAATGTGATCAATATGACCTTCAAATGTTACTTTGCTATCAAACAACACTCCCAAGTCCCGAACGCCATTGGTCAAAGTTAGATTATTGTTTTGATTTTTAATGTGTTAGAAATCAAACGTTGAAAGGTAAGACCTAGTAATCCTTAGCTCGCACAAGTTTCGACTTCTGAGGGTTGTCGTTCGTAGGGGTGCGACAGTTGGTTAACGGAAAAACAGATTTTAAACAGATTTGAACAGTTTATATGGATATACAATATGTTTCGCAGCTCTTGAAAATGTTATTTGATAACATTTATTTATATTTGAATTTCTTTGACGTCGGTCTATTGAACGAGTTGACGTTGGCTGTTTTGTTCTGCTGAATAGAGCATAGTCTGTCAACGATTAGTCTGTCAAACCAAGCACGGTTTTTTCAAGAAGAAGGTTTTATTTCGATATATTTTCTGCTGAGGGATGTGTTCCAATTTCCAAGTTGATGAAGAAGTGTAATTGGTTGATAGTGTTTTGATAGTAGGTTGATAGTGATTTGTTTTCAAATATTCTTCACAGTGACGAAATAGCAGTAAATTTTTGCACAGTTCTGGTGTGTCAGAAAAGTAATTTCGTGGGAAAATAACAAAAAGTTCTTTCGTTTTACATTCTTATCATATAATACTCACTTGAGATCCAACATTTTCTGTACCAACCGAAGCTGTTACAGTCTTTGGTCCAGAAGTTGCATTAGTAGTAGTCATGGTACTAGTATCAGATTGCGGTTGAACTCCCCGGTCTCTCATTTGTTTATTTTGGCTACCCTCCCTTTGAGTCCCTTTTGTACCTGCAAATTCGATTAGTCAGATGTATGTTCTCAATGACACTTTACTGTGAGTTTCTCACAAAATCGTTTTCAAAACCGTAACATAGCCTGTGAACTTTGAGACGATTGGTACTTGACTCCTTACCAGTACAAATCATATCAACAACTTTGAATAAACAGAAACATGAAGGTAGAATTTCGGCATCATTGGCTTCGAAAAATGACTATATTTTTAATTTACTTGAAAGACTCAGTGGTTTATATAAGGTCTATGTTCTTTCGAGAAGAACTTGGTGTCCTCAATTTTTTCGGGGTTCATATAACGTTTCGCTTATGTCAACCTGAAGGCATTAAGTCTATGATAGTTTATTACATATCGAGTAGGATAAGAAGTCAATTACCCATGATCGAAAAACTTTAAGCCCGAGTCGTTAACAGAGTGCAACAATTCGCGAGTGGACGTAATTGGCCTCATCCTCGAGGTGCGTACTGTACTTTTTCTACGACTGACCGTAGAAAGGAATGGTACAATATATTTGTTCGAGATTATGGCTTTGGATAATAAACTCATTCAGTCAGTAAGTCAGAACTCAATCAGATGATTTGAAAATTTGTAACAATATTTCCTACAAATTAGATTGAAGACAAAATGAGAAAACCAAGAAAGTACTTGATAGAAATAGCTCCGTGAACGCAAGCGAAACACAAGTGGAACCACCTATTGGTGTGACACCCAAGTCAACTTGCCAAGTTTTTATGTCAGTGTTGGTGGTTTGACCAATCAACCGACAACTGCGGTAATTCGATAATTTTGGTGTTATAGTTGATGATTAGTCAACCACCGGTAGTAGTTCTCTCGTGTTAGTTGTGTGCGTGTTATAGTGCGCAAGAACCCCTAACACTTCTGAAAAGAAGAATCACAGATGATTTTCCTCCACTCCCGGACGTGTCCAGCCGCAAGGTAAATGAGTGGATCAGAAAGGAAAAGCCCAGGAAGTTGAAAAAAATTTCCAAAAAAGCAGTCATCGATGATGTCAAATCTGAGGCTCGGAATTATTATTCCAAGTCCGAAGCTTCGTCACGCCCAGTTACGAGAAGTCGGGCACGCGAGATGGCCACACCTCAAATTAACAATAACAACAACATCAATGAAATGGACACCAGTCCAAATCAACAAAACGATAGTTCCACTGAAGGTTCCGAACATACTGTCAGAACCATTCAGGACCTGGAGCCTGGCTCCCCCGCTCCAACTAGGCAGAACGAACAACCCACTGCCACTGCCACTTCCAAGAAGGTGAAAATCCCTCCGATTGTCGTTCGTCAGAAAGACAAATGGGTAAAACTAATTAAGACAGCAGCTGAGCAGAAGATCAACTTCTCCAAAGCTGTGAACTTACACGATGGTATTAAGGTTCAGCCTGTGACCCCTGACGATTATCGTCGGTTGTCAAGGCTTTTGGTGACGGAAAATATTCCGCACCACACTTACTCACTTCCTGAAGATCGGCAAATCCGCGCCGTCTTCAGGGGCGTCCCAGAGCACTTCACGATCGATGATATTCGTGAGGAGCTTGAATCCAAAGGCTTTGACCTAACTTCGGTCACGCGCATGAAGCGTGCCGGAAAGCCAATGCCAATGGTTCTTGCTCTGGTCAATAGAGACCAGAAAAATATCTTTGAGGTAACCGATCTCTTGAGTGTGAAGGTTCAGGTCGAACCCCAGCACCCCAAAACTTCGGTGGGTCAGTGCCATCGCTGCCAGCGCTTTGGCCATTGCCAAAAGAACTGCATGGCAGTTCCGATATGCGTCAAATGCGCAGGCAGGCATCTCACCAGCGCCTGCAAAAAACCAAGGTCTGATCCCCCGAAGTGCAACAATTGTAAAGGGGTCCATACAGCTAATTATAGAGGATGTCCAGAATTTCCTAAGACTCAAAAGTCAAAAACAAAAGGAAAGCAACCAGCTAAAAAGCCAGTCCCTTCAGGAAGACCTGCGGGGTCTGGACGTGTCCAGGAAGGGGTTAGTTTTGCTAGAGCTGCATCCAAGGGTGCCAGCAGCTCTGCAAGGCCCGCTCCTTCTCGACCAGAGCCCTCACCTCAGTCTCAGGAGGCTTCAGACATCTGCGCCGCTTTGGAGCAGATGAAGCAATTATTCACCAAATTCCCCGTGCCCGAAAAAATGTTCACGGTGAATACAAACGTGTTGACTGGTACTGCTAATGTCTAGACAACCGACATTGCCTAGATCTTTGAAGATAGTCTTTTGGAATGCCAATGGCTTTCTTCCCAAAAAACTTGACTTCGAGAATTTTCTCGTAGAACATAACATCGATGCGGCTCTAATCCAAGAGACGCATCTGAGGAATGAATCCGTTGTCATTCCAAATTACAAGTTCTTCCATAGAGAACGTATTGGACGTGCTGGTGGGGGAGTTGGCATTCTTGTCAAACGATCCCTCCAGTGTGTCCAATACGGCATTGACAGTGCTCGGTTACACGGAACTGAGGCCGTAGGGGTCGAAATTCGACTGAGACGGGGTTGTCACAGATTAATCTCTGTCTATAACCCTCCGACTAATCTTTTACTCCCAGAATCACTGGATGAATTGCTGATGGGTAGTGATATTCCGACAATTGCTGCTGGCGACTTCAATGCCAAGCACGGACTATGGAGCAGAGCCACCAATCGAAACGGCCGAGCGCTCCATGCGCATGCTGACAGACATGAATATCTCGTGCTGGGAGCGNAAGCTGAGCCTAAAGAACAAAATCACGATCTATAACATGATGTTCAAGTCTGTCATCATGTATGCTTCAGGCGTTTGGGGACAAGCGGCTCCGACTAACATCTCCATCTTGGAGACTCTACAAAACAAAATTCTACGGATGATTGTGAATGCTCCGTGGTTCGTGCGGAATGAAGCCATCCGCAGAGATTTGAAGCTGCCTTCCATTCAGCAATCCATTCAGTCGAGGAATCGGCGAGTTTTAGATTATGCTGAAACTCATGAAAATCCTTTAGTCAGGGAAACTATAGATTACGCTGTAGACGACCCCTCCCGATATAGAAGGCCCCGACACTCTGTCGCATAAGGCCCCTATGTCTTCAGTTAACGGATGAATAATATCTTCATCCATCTCACCCCAGCCAGGTAGGGGTATACAGCGGAGGGCGGTATGGATGTCTCAGGACTTTCATGCCACCAATAAACACCAGTCATAACCCATTTGTCTTTCTGACAAACACCAGTTGAAAGGGGAAGGGAGCCAGGCTTCAACCTGCAGGAAATCAAGATGGATTACGTCATATTTTGTCATAGTTCCGTTTTGACAGCGGAACAGTGCGGAAGTGTCATAGCGTTCGGTTGTGTTTTCGCCAAGATTTCTGGTTGATGATCAGCCGTATTGTGGTGTTTCTGGCTTGTGATAGTGGTTCGTTGGTTCCTTAGGGCAAACGAAGAAACGTTTCCGTTGAGTACGATTGAATATATCATTTTTCGTTGCGTTCAATTGCTCAGAGCTTTACTGTCAATTTTAAGTGAGTAGAATGTCAAGCAGCATGGAGGAAATGCTTCGCAATCTGGCTGGGAGGGACAAGACCGAGATCATTAGCATCATTTGCCAATTGATCTCGTGCTTCGGCCTAAACCAGGCAGATTTGCAGGGCAATACATTGCCAGTCTCTGGGCCCGGCTGTCAAAATCTGACAGACGGGAATCAGGGAGTGGCTAATGTTCCGCCTGCGAGTGAAAATTCTTTTCGCGACAGCGATCACGAGAGCGTACATTCCTCCTCTTCCTCCGTTTTGAAGAAAAGAAGAATAAGCGAAGATTTCCCACCTCTACCTGATGTTTCCACCAACAAGGTAGACGAGTGGATTAAAAAAGACAAACAACCTAAGAAAGCAAAGAGACTGCAGAAGAAGGTTGTTTTAGACGATATCAGGGACGAGGAAAACAAGTATTACTCCGAGTCCGAGGTGTACTGGTATAGCAAATAATGTGGAACAATAACAAATTGAGAAATAAACAATATTCTAATTAGAACACCTAATACGTGCCAGGACAGCTCTTTTCGATGTATGCCGATCTTATGTTATTAAAACATTATGTAACATTGAGATAGGGAAGGATTACGACGAGGATCATGTAATTGAAACAAGGTAGATCAATTTGAGTTATTCTGAATAGAGGAAGTTTTTCTACGAAGTCGTTTCATTCCGTTCCTTATAAATGAACCTGAAGTGAGTTTATTACAGAGGTTTCGTCGCGTTCGGTGACACGAAGTCAGGCCCGCGAGGTGGCCACTTCTCTTTCAAGCGAAAATATGGACACAAGTCCAGCCATCCAAGCTGACAGTGTTTCTGATAACTCAGAACAAACTGTCAGAACTATTCAGGACCAGGAGCCTGGCCCCTCTGCCCCACGTAAGCAGAAAAACCAGCCTCCTACTAAAAAAGTTAAGATTCCACCAATTGTCGTTCGTCAGAAGGACAAATGGGTTAAGTTGATCAAAACAGCAGCCGAGGAGAAAATAAATTTCTCCAAAGCCGTCAATCTTCATGACGGCATCAAAGTTCAGCCCTCGACTCCTGACGATTATCGTCGATTGTCAAGACTTCTCGTGACGGAGAACATCCCCCATCACACTTATTCCCTCCCTGAAGACCGGCAAATCCGTGCCGTCTTCAGAGGATTACCAGAGCACTTCTCAGTTGATGATATCCGTGAGGAGTTAGAAGCCAGAGGCTTTGATCCCTCCTCAGTAACCAGGATGAAGCGAGCAAATAAGCCCTTACCCATGGTCTTGTTACTGGTCACCAAAGATCAAAAGGACATATTTGAGATCAAAGACCTCTTGAATGTGAAGGTGCAGGTTGAACCCAGCACCCCAAAACTTCGGTGGGTCAGTGTCATCGCTGCCAGCGCTTTGGCCACTGCCAAAGAAATTGCATGGCTGTCCCAATATGCGTCAAGTGCGCCGGCAGGCACCTTACCAACGCCTGCAAGAAAGCTAGGACTGACCCCCCAAAGTGCAATAATTGCAAAGGGGCACATACTGCAAACTATAGAGGCTGCCCTGAGTTCCCTAAGGCTCAGAAGTCTAGAGGCAAACCAGCTAAAAAACCATCTCCCCCAAGCAGACCTGCGGGGTCTGGTCGTGTTAAGGAAGGAGTTAGTTTTGCCAGAGCAGCATCCAAGGGTGCAAACGGCTCGGCAAAGACTGCTCCTTCTCAATCTCTGCCCTCACCTCAGACTCAGGGCTTCAGACATCTGCGCCGCATTGGAGCAGATGAAGCAATTATTCTGCAAATTCCCCGTGCTCGAAAAAATGTTCACGGTGAATAATAACGTGCTGACTGGAACTGCCAATGTCTAGACAACCGACATTGCCTAGATCTT